GATCTCAGGTTAAATTCAATGTATGGCTACTGTGTTATAGGTTCATTTTAATTTAATCTAATGTATGTTTGTATGCTGCAACTGGATGCTTGAATTTCCCTCGGGATAAATAAAGAATCTATCTATCTATCTTTTCAAGCATGTTATAGCCTCCAAAAATTGTAATAATTCCTCCAAAAATGAGATCCTTTTGGCAGAAAAATTATAACAATTCCCTGCATCGTAATAGGGCTTCTCTGCAGTCGCTGCTCGGCCCTAAAAATGTCATAAAAAAATGAATCCACCTCTGTGAGACTAAAACAAGACAGAAATGAAGATTTTATACTGTGACTGACTGACAGAGCTGTTTACTTTCAGATGTTGTCTTGTGTTTTTTATGGTCAGTCGGGCCCGGTGGAGATGACCGGGATAAGAGAGAGTTGAGTCATGGCTGCAGGAGGGGAGACGGAGATGCTCTGCAGACAATGTCTTGCTCCTTTCTTTCTCTCAGTCTCCTAAATGCATTTTGTCTCCTCCTCCGGGCCACTCGCAACCTAATGTTTGGTTATGGGAACACTGTGCTCTGCTGTAATGAGATTTTCACTTTTGGTCCAAGGTGCACTCACAGAAATGTCCTCCTCTTCAGAGCACTGTGTTAGTAGCAGGATATGTCATCCTTTGCTGTATTTAACGTAATAAGGATGAGCATGGACACTCGGTTTTGACAGAATCACTGTTTTTATGCTCCAGTGGATGCTAAAAAAACCAGTTTAATGCTCCCCTAACCTTTTGCAACTGCTCAAACTTTCACCACTGATGGTGACGAGGAGTGTTTCTGACAGAGTCTAGATGATGCGGCTGTAACCTTTACGACTGTCCAGAACGTGTGTTTTCTCACAGATGCATGCTGATGTGCTGCCTTTTTCCAAGCTTGCCTATTTATCCATTAGTCACCACCGCAGCACTGCAGCCACTGCCAAGACTTCTTCTGGCTTCACAAGCTTCTATTTCAGCAGTTTGGTTTGTTTTTGCTTTGAAATCCGAAGCCGGTTTGGAAAATCTGCAGTTCAGGGGGGAGGAGGGTGGGGAAAAGAAAAGGTCAGATGCATTAAAAGTTGTGCTGCTGAGCTTTCCCAACAGGCCCAGTAGATATTACTGAGGTCACGTGTGGAGATGCTTGCTATGTTTGCTCTCTTCCACCTCCCTTGGAGCTTAATATAGGTTTTATGACTCTGCTTTTGTCCGAGAAATCAGATTATGTGTCGCCTTTGGCCCGTCTGTGCTTCCAACTGAGCCATGGCAGGCAGCAGGGATGTGAAAGGGATGGTAAAGACCATTGATCATAAAATGACAAGTGATTATGTACAGGTTCAGAGTCAGTTCCTTCTCAGGGTTTCACGTCTTGAGATTATCATGATATCTCTGTGATATTTTTCATTCGTACTTGTGTTTCTAACAATTTTCCCTCTGTGTCCCGACCCTCAGACGTACATCGGTTCCATCCTGGCGGCGGTGAACCCTTACCAGACACTGCCCGGCCTGTACGACCGACCAGCCGTGGAGATGTACAGCCGACACCACCTTGGCGAGATCTCCCCGCACATCTTCGCGGTCGCCAACGAGTGCTACCGCTCGCTGTGGAAGAGGCTGCAGAACCAGTGTGTCCTGATCAGGTTGGTGATATTGAACGGGCCCTCCTGTTTTGTGGTTGTCTTTGAATCTCCAGACTCAAGTTTAATCAAACTCATGCAAACTTTAAAACTGCATTAACACATTTTTGGCCACTAGGAGGCAGAAAACCTCAAAGACTAAAGTAAAATTTTGCCAGAAGTTTCTTCGTCCTGATAGTTTCCCAGCTTTTGCTGACTTACCAACAGCAAATGCCCAGTCAGGATATCAGCACCTTTCTTGTCAGAGGTTATATTGAGAGCTTTAATTGTCCGTTTACATAAACTGCTGCGGTCTTAAACTCATTTAATCGCTCTCCCTTCAGTGTGCCAAACACTTTGATCAAGTCCCCTGGGCAGTTTGGCTGAAGCTCTGAGGATCTGAGCGCTACATGCCACGACACACACACACACACACACACTGTTTCTATCTCCATCCTCTGTTCGCCGCTTTCCTTCCTCACATCCTTCCTCTTTGATTTTAGCTGGACAACTTTCACATCCTCTGTCGCTCTATTGTTCTATCAGACAGACAGAGACGTTCTCTTCCCGCCTGACTTCAAAACAAAGATATTTTTACACTTAAGATATGATAATATTTGGCCCCCGATTTAGCAAAGAGCGGATGCGGGGGACATCACAGTGTTTGACTCTGTGGGAACTGTTATGTTTGTGGTCATCGAAGTATCCTGAATAGCTGGCGAATGCATTTTATTCATTCCTGGGGCGACATGGGGTAAAGAGAATTATGTAAGAACTAACTAAATAAAATAACTCACTTTCAATTTAAAATTGGCAAATGTCACTGACTGGGCTCAGAAGACATATTCTTTAATGCAAATCAGTCATGTGTTGCTAATACCTCATCAGTATCACTGCTGATTGTTCAAAGATCAGTGCAATATCATTTCCAGCATTAGGACATAGAGTATTATTGCATTGCTGCCCCAGATCAAATTGTTCTGTCCAAATTTGTCGGACTCATCAGCCTGAACCACAAAGTGTCCCAACTGCAGATACCAAAGATTAGCCATGTCTACCCAAATTATTTCACTTTCTACAAGAAGCGTATTAAAAAGTCTTGTATCTTTGGTAGACATTTAAGCTGGAATAAGATGCAAACAACCAGCTTGAGAGGTGTGGGCGGGGAGGGTGGGTTTGTGAGTCGCAGCACGCTGCTTCAGGCGCAAGTGTTGCAGTTTTCTGACAATTAGCTGGCATTGGTTTATAGCCCTGTTTGGCCCCGTTTCATTGGCACTGCTGGTAATGAGACACAGATGTCCCCTTTTAAATGTAAGCCGGTTTGAGTTTGTGAAGAAAGCAGAAAGTGAAGGGTGGCTTGGTTTAATTGTTAATGTTAACAACATGAGACATGAGAATTCTTAGTGCATGTCCATAATTATAAGTATGAACATAAGTATAAGTATCGACTGATTAACTTCAGTCCACCAGACATTCGCTTAGGAAGATGGTAGACGACCCAGAACATCCCTGTATCAGTCACAGATAACTGTCGGCTTTCTGCAGTAACCTGTTAAAGGTTAAATATACTGTATATGAGATTTAAAACAATAATATAGCAGCAAACAAGTGGAGTCATGGTGTTCTGAGCGGCGAATCACATCACACTCCTTCTTCATGTGTTGCTATTGCCACCTATACAAGGCAGGTCCCCGCCGGTTCCCACAGAGTTTTTATCATCTACATCAGTGAATTAAGGATTTAGCTCCATCGAACCACAGTTGGTGTTTGTTGGAAAAGTGGTGATGACTGTTCTGTAAAAATGCAAATGATTTAAATAACAGTAACCACCTTAATACATTTAAAGACATTATTTTATCTCTGCCATTAACATGGTTTCTTATGTCCTTTAGTGTAATCACTTTAAAGGCAATTTTGGTGTCTAAGATTTGACCTGAATACACCAACTGAATAGAATAACTCCCATGTATTGCTATGTGCAGCGCTGTGTGTGCAGACATACCTCACACAGTTGTCTCCTGCTCTGAGTTGCCTTCGCCCTTCTGTTCAGGGCACAAAAACTCCTTTGTCTTGGCAGGATGTTGGTCAGTGGGAAGAATATGCACCTCGGCGCACACAGCGAGGCGTAAACACAAACATGTCATATTGTCAGTGGAGGAGGCCCCGAGCCGCACAATGCTGCCATTCTGTCCGCAGAGACGTATCACTGCCATAGATCTGCTTTGTGTTTGTTCTTATCCCACTGATTCCTGGTACTTTTCCTGCTGCAGCAAGCACATTGCCCCTTGAGGGTTCAGCAGTCTCGTCTCCTTGCTTTTCAGAAAGGTGATTTTGCATTTCCTCCTGTGTATTTTTTCAAACCGCGCTACAGACGTTTTCCACCAGTTCCGAGCGCCTGGAGTTTATGAAAACACTTAATTCACCGCAGAATCTGTGACTTCAAAAGAAAGATAAACTTTGTAGTTTTTCCATGGAGGCAGCAGCACATGAAGCCATGCAGGCCAGAGAGGACAAACCACAGACCACAGTCGTGACCTTTAACTGTTGTCTCAGCTAAAACACAACCTGGTGGTTTACTGTCTGTTAGAACAGAGTAAATGACACACTGAGCCTCCCAAGACACACACTGCAAGGCTTGATTATCCTCTTCTAATTTAGAGTATTTGCATCATTTCGAGGTTGAACATTGAATCTTTCGACTGTATTGTGAAAGTGAAACCGGGCAGTCGAGGCTGTGGGTCGTGGTCTTATTTTTTAGCTGCTTATAAAGCTGTACAAAGGGAAACAAAGGTTTTTATTTTGATAAAGTAGAGCCAGTGCTTAAAAATGCAAAAACAAGATTACAAAAAAGAAGATTAATCCAAAAGGGTTTGAAAAAGACACAATTTCAAAGCTTTTGAGTATTTTTGCACATTAGTCAGCACAAGTTCTTGCAGGTTTTTCTTTTTTAAGGATTTTCTTTTTTGTAGAAAAATACATCATGGATGCATATGCAAGGAGCTAAAAGCCTAAAACACGAATGTATAACCTCTGCATGGTGAATAAACTGTACCTTCATCAAGATTAACGATATATTTCACCCAGTTATGTGTCAGCAAAAGGTGGAGCAGACCCCCACAAAATTGTTTTTTTTAAATGAGTAATGAACTTAAGTATCACTGTTCGGCTTTTCTTTGACTTCTTTGACTTCTGTTGACTCCAAACCAGTGAGAGTGCCACTTTTAAACCTTGGTTTTACTTGTTGCTAGCGTTTTACTACCTCTGACTTGTTTAATTAGCTGTTAATTGTTGCCCTCAAGCAAGGCTTTAAACTGGCAGCTTCCCCAGTGGAGCTGCAGCTGAGTGAATGTGAAGCAGGGTGAGGCTGCTCTGCAGACATTTCCTGATAAAAGCTTATTTAAAAAAAAATCATTTGATTAATTTGATACTTGGGCCAGAGGGCGATTCAGCCTCAGACTCTATTTATCTGCAGAGGGAACATAAAGTAGTTGTCGAAGTTTCCTAATAGCTTAATACTTTTTGTGTTGGATCTGTGAGTTTCATTGATTATCTCAAACGTGGTGTTAAAGCGAAGTGAAGTGCTGGAGCTCCCTCTGGTCTGCTGCTGTGGGTGATGGATGTGGGAGGCTGTGAATAATTGCAGGGTGGAGCAGTGACACTCCATATTTTTGCTGCCAAGTGTTTCTCCTGAGGGCCCGACTGTGTGTGGGCTGAGTGGACGTCAGGATGGAGACTGAACCCTGAACCCTGGAGGCCTTGTTTGGAACCCTGACCAGACAAAAGTCAATTATTAAATAATACGACCACTTTATGGATCATTCTTACCCCAATTATCCTCAATCTACTGATAGAAGTTTAACATCACTGACTACAGGGTTGTCAGTTTTTGTTTTTTATTGATTCTGAATGAAAAATATGCAGCTTTTTTAAAAGAAGCAGCTCCCTTAAAACCAAGTTTTACCTGGATTGTGTGCCCCTGTGCAGCCGAAGTTGTTTTGTTGTTTGCTGCAAGACAAACCTCTTAACCACAGTTACAGTACACAACGTCCTCTTGCAACAATAGCAGTCTAGAAATTGGAAAGTGAAGAGAACAAATCATTTTCCACAACACTTTCCAGTTTTTCTTGACTCTACAGGACAGCACTTGCTTACAAACAGTCATAAAAGCTGCAGTTTCAGGCAAATTCCTACATTAATTTCAGTCAACATCAGTAACAGTTCAAATCAACTAGAATTTATTTTATTGTATTTTATTGTTCTAGAAAGTTAGTAGAAAGTGTCCATTGCACATACAATTACCACTGTGCATCAACCACAGCAACAAGAAAGTTGATGCATGTAGATATGAGAATAGTAAAATGTCCAGGACAAAACAGATTATTTCCAGGATAGCTCCCTCTCTTCATTCACTCTTTAGGTCACTCGACCATCACTACTATCTCTCTCTTTCTCACTGAATTGTGTGCTTACAAACAGCAACCTACAAATCCTGCTCATTTAATCCAGTGAATCATTTTAATCAAATTGAGGATTTTTGGTTAGTTTAGGGTGATGACAATGAAAATATGACATATCAGACATTGGAAGTGTTGTTTGAAAACTTCAATAGAAGCTTCAAATGTAAAATAACAACACTAACACTTACAGTTACAGTTGCTCAAAGTTACAGCCCTAAAATGCTCTCAACTCAAAGATTCACTTGAAGCCTGCAAAAGGTAAAATGTCAAATGTGTCCTGCTCTACTGTAACTGGACTCCCCCAAAATGAAGTTATAGTTTCTGTAAATGACGTGAGCAGGCAACAAGTATTAACATGTATTTTCACTCATTTCCATCTCTGTGGTAGAAGTGAAATACAATATGTTGAAGCGAGAGTGAAGCTGACATGTGCAAACTAACTCTTGTGCTAGAAAGTCGACAAATATTTTTTACAGCCAGGTTTCAAGCTCGTAAAGTTTGTGTGTTTGATACCTAAAGTTAGATTTCGGGTGGAGGATCACTTAAACACTGAGTCAAAGTCCTGCC